TAAAGTTCATATATAATAAATAGATAAAAATTATGATAAATAGAAAAAACATTTTACATGAAAAAATACTTTCCCTACCCAAATTAAATCATATGAGTTGCGGGAGGGAAAACAAGATAATTTTAAAGGGACTCCACTGAGGTTTTTTGGCATGATGAGACTGATATCATTTCCGGATAAATGTACCATTTGATGTAGGTTTAGACCACTAATCTATGTGCAAAATTTCAGAATAATTGTTTAAATTGTAAAAATGACCCAAAATGAAAACATGTATACAAATAGTTATTTAATGCTGGGAGTTGTTGAATAATGTTATTCCAATATATCGAGTAAAACTTTAATTAAGTAAATACATATACAATGAAACTGTCCGTTATTCATAGACTTACTAGTAAATCATAATTCTACATCAGTGGACATTCTTAAATTGATTATGGTTGTAAGACATAAATATCGATTCAAATTACACCCTTATGGTTCTGAACCAAATTAATCAAAGATTGTTATCCGCTTGCTAAAGAAAGGAAACTATATATATATTATAATACATGAACACTATATTTACTGAGCAGATTCAAAACAAATTTGTAGGTATTTGTATCTGCTAATTTTGTTTTGACAACATCTATTGTTGCAGCTGTATATATTGATATGTCTATTGTACTAACAGATAAATAAACTATTCAATAAATGTGAATATATTGTATCGGTGTGGAATACATAAACTTACGACAATCATTTATGCGTTTTATTTAAATAAATAATTCAGTAAGTTTACTTATAAATCATTAAAGATCCTGTATGTTTTGTGATCGATATTGTTACTGTGTGTATACCACACTTGCAAACAATTATATATGTATATAATTATGCAAATAAAACAATTTTCAAACATCGAAGAATATGTAAAATGTGTACTGCAAATTTTTGTGCACATCATATTTTATCAATAAATTACATGCATACATTTCTTATTGGAAAAATTGACTTAGACTTTATAGAAAATGAATTTCTAATTACCTCCCTTTATTTACATGAAATTTTAAAATGGGTAATATCTTTAAAAATAATGCTTAATGTATCTTACAATACTGACAAACCTTAACTTGAGCATCATATTTATGAAATAAAACCATGAAAAAATTGTGTTACAGGATCTTTAAAAGCCTAGATTATAGTGATGCTCGTGTCTTTCAATAACTGCAAGGTGTTTATGGGGATTAACATAGTTGTATAACACAAAAATCTGCAAAGTTCAGAGATTAAAAGAAATGTATATATTATGACTGTGTTAAATGTATAACTCAAGTAACAAATTTTGTACTCTGCTTCTTGTACAATACAACTGACAAAGGCAAAGATCACAATAAAAGGACCTACAACAAAGGTCGTATGGTTGATTTCTTCTTAATTTTCTTAAAACAATGAGACAGATTGAAAGCTTGATGATCATGATTCTCTTACTCCCATTCTCATGAATAGAAAGAGTACATCAAGCAAGGATTCTTATTATTTATATATGATTATTAACCTCATGGATAATACAGACTAAATTAGAAATCCAGCGAGGGTAGGTCTTAATAAAAACCTGTATATTCATAAAACAGAAATAATGATTTAAAACGGACTCCATCCAGCGAGGGTATGTCTTTGTAAATGATAGAGTACATAAAACCTAATTATTTTGCTTGATTTTACATCCAGTGACGGTAACTGTTTGTAAATGGATATATAAAGTCATAATATCATGTTCATGTAGGCATCCAGCACGTGACAATTTATCTATATGGCTATATAAACAATAGTATTATTCTAGAGTGGACAGCCATTGAGGGTTGGTCTTTGTATATGGCTATCAAACAAGAGTATGTCTTTGTAAATGGGTATATATAAAGACAAAATATCATTCTTGACTGGTTTTTAATTTTTGAAATGCTTATATTGTTTAAATGTTACGTTTATGCTTCAATTATTATAAAATAATCCAACAGTACAATAATTATGCATGTTATCTCAAATTACGGCATACTCGTAAAAAGGTTTTCAATGGTCAGCAGTGTATATACAGTATATTACTGTTGGATTCTTTTATAATAAATGAAGCATAAACGTAAAATTTAAAAAAATAAGCATTTTAAAAATCTTCAGAGCAACAATATTAAGCTTGATAGCAAGTGAAAAATAATGCTAGGAAAGAAAAGCATAATATACCACTCTTATATGTGTTAAAGTTTATTTTTTCTAGGAAGATGTAAAATGTACGGGCTTTATATCCGTGTAACATTTTCACTGTACTTATTGTAAGATTTCTTTAAATCATCACTCTTAAACCAAAACAATTTCTTTCACTAATTGAGTATTTCGGAAATTTAAATTTTCAATTGTTTTCTCATTATTTGTCGATCAAAAATTAGTCACGTATTGTTTGCTTATTGATAGTCATCTATACATGATGTGGTTTAATTGTCGGTCCAATATTTACTTCCTTTATATTAGTTGAGTGTCATCTATAGCTGAACTGTTAGTGGCTTAAGATATATAGAAATCATAAATTGTATATGCTCAAATATAAGTTACCGAAAAAAAGATTTACAATTTTAAAGACATATTGATAATCTATTCACGTTTAACTTTGAGTGCAACTAATCCTTGATATTGAAATATTTCATTTTATTTAAATTTTAAAATTCTAATCTAAAACTCGCTTATAGTTCCATGTGATATTTGCATTCAGTTAATACTGTACATCGGTCTTGATCATAGCCGATGTAACTTTTTAAAATGACCCCATATAATTTTTCTCTAAACTTAAAAGAATCACATACTTTTAAAATCATTATACCGTTAACTGCTGTCGAATGTTATTTTTGCAATGAATGCAAATAAGCTTTTGTAAGTCCAGACACTTCAATGTGTCATTGATTGTACAAAAAGGCCATTTGCTTAAACAAAAAAGAAAACGAAAATATCTGAGTCGCACAAAAATAAAGGAAAGTTGTACCTGTATATGAATACTACATATTTTCTTACTTTTACGATCATTACAATGTCGGTCTTTAAAAATCCATTAATACACTTTATTTAGAATTTAAGTAACACATAACGCCTCTTTAGAAATGCAGCTATACCGATTTCGGTTGATGCTGGTTTTTCAATGCCTCCTCATAAAGAGGACATACTAGTTTTATATGTATTCCATGTGTGCAGTGTAATGTTAGCATTCTGAAACTGGAAACGGTGATCTTGTCCGAAATTTAAAAGGAAATGGCTCACGGTATCATTTAATAAAAAGATGCAACTGGTGGTAAAATAATTCATTTTCTGGACTGTTAAAAGGCGGTAGAAGCATGGGAAAGGACAACGTCTGATTACCTTCGGCTTGATGTAAGTGATGTCAAAAATTTAAATTCATTTATTTATTTGTGTGACCAATTTGATACTCATATATACCCCCAAAATTGAAGTGATGAAATGGATAGCCTAATAGTTTTATTACATTTGAGCATATGTATCGTAAGTAAAAAACCAAACAAACAAACATGAGTTGCAGTCGAATGACAACTCCCCAGCAGTAGTCATTTGTAGAAAATGCTATTAATCTATGTATAGATCAAATCATTTTATATCCTCCTGCAGACTGAAGCTAGGCTTCGGTTATAATAGATATCCCAGAAAGTTTAAAACAATTATGTCCAATAGTAGTGAAAATATTCGGTTAAACTGTTGCACGGACACACGCACGAACAAGTGGACATAACAGTATTTCTTATGTTAGGATAATTATATTGACACTATTTTTTTCGTTTTGTTTTTTGAAAGAGTGAAAGAAAACTGGCTCTTTCGACGCCTGCGGGATATTCACCAATGTAGTGAATTTTTAATATCAATCTTACTAGATCAATCTTACTAGACTCAGAGCTAATTTGAAATTCAAAACATGTTCCATATATTGTTTACTTTAATTTGACAAAAACCTATGTCAGAGTCTGATCGTAGTTAAAAGTTAGCTAGAAATTGAATTTCGACCTCATTATACAGAGCTCAAAACATTTTGGAGGCCATGAGTTAGCGAAGTACCTCCGTGTAAATACATGAATAATGTATTCCGATAAAACTTTGTGTAAGTGTTACATTTTTGTTAAAATATGTTATCTTAATAATGTGATAACGATAAAGAACGTGACAATATAAATCGTCTATAATATATTGGTTTATAAATTTGAACATCTAATTCGATTTGCACGCGTGCATGCGTACGAACACGGGTGCGTGTGTGCTTATGTTTGTAAGTACATCCTAATGTTGTCGAACTAAGTGGGATTGAGATTGCATATGTTAATTTGTAACAGTTTATAACCGAAAACAAGCTAAATTCACTACATTTCGTATTGTCGCGAAAAAGACAACAAACATAAAGTAATATAAAATATCCAGCGTCATTAAATGATGTTCTTAAAGCAGCACTCCTCCAAATTCATCCTAATTTTCATGAAAATTTTGAAAAAGTATCTAAAGGTAAAATATTGTGAATTGAACATAGAAAGTACTTGACACATTACAATCGGCACTTAAAATCGACGTAAATTACCAAAAAGAGGTCAAAATATGCATAAATAGCCCCTACTGTGTTAGTAACGCAGTAGGAATATGGTAATAAATACTACAAAATACAGTCATTAATTACATAAGATATAAATTATCACTTGAATCTTTAATTTGTTTACTTTTCTCAAAGTTTTAGTATGATTTTCCAAGTTTAATTTTCCTGAAATATTTTGGATCATATTGAGGCATGCAGCTTTAAATTACCACATTTATACATTCGGAACACTTGGCTGATTTCCGATAATCGTGTTGGTCACAGGAAAAACTAAATCAAGTAGTTTTACCACTTCACTTGAAACAAGAAAACTTTAGAAATAGTGTATATTATAATGCATATTAAACTATTTTATCTCAAAAGTAACGATATGTGAGACAAGCGACGTAGGGACAACATGGCAGTAGACGGGCGTAAAATAAGACAATCTTTGTATCAAGATTCGGACATAGAACATGATTTTCCGTGTTCCCCTTGTTCTAAAGAAGGGAAAAATGTAGCTGCTATCAAACATTGTGTGGAATGTGATGAAAATCTTTGTCAAAAATGTTTGGGTGATCACAATAAGTTTTCAGTAATGAAAGGACATCAGTTACTTGACACGGTGAAACAACCGAGCAGGAAAAAGCAAGAATTACCAAGACAAAGATGTGAAAAACATGGAGGAAAATTGATAGATGTATATTGCGCTGGTCATGATAAGGTTGGCTGCTCAACGTGTATGACCGTTGAACACAGGTAGAAATTACATCTAATTCTTTTTTTTTTGTTTCAATGACCAACAAATGTTGGTTCTATAGTGATGTTTTTCACAATTCAGTTAAAAATTAATTATAATTAATAAAAAAGAAATAAAAACTAACACTGGTCAGTGATTCATAACATTTCAAAACATTATACATGTAGTTTTATACACAGTATTTTAGTTGATAAAGTGTACAGTAGAGCTCGTGTAACATTAAAGTTTGTCTAAGTTAAATTTAGATCACATTAGGGTCAAAATTTAGATTTTAGTTAAATGCCTGTTTGAACTACTAGTACTCCGGCAAGAAAGACAAGGTAATTTGTATGTTGGAGAGGGAACTGTTTTATGAAAGTTTAAGAGAATGGTTTCCAACAGGTGGATCTATGTGGTCCGAGTCCGACGTGCCAATCGAGAAGCATATTTTCAAACTAACTTTTTCACCAATGATAATGTTTTTTTTTTAAGAAATCGTTTCTTAACATTGTGTTTAGAACGAGTATGTGTAAAAATAAAACGATCTTTATACCGAGTAATAAATTAATATCTTCCCGCACTTAAAAAACTATAGTTTTACATTGCCGTAATATGCAGACCTTATATTAAGTATTAAATTACTACTATGACGTCATTTCTATGTTTTGACCGTACTATATTTCTAACATATATCATTCTTTTTTTTTTATAGAAACATGTCAGACTCCTGGTATGACAAATATCAAATCAAAAATTTATTCGAAAATATCATTTTGTTGCGTAAATATCCGAAATTCACACTAATGACCATTTGAACACAACATTTAACATCCGTGATCTAGTGATAATTGTGGTAAAGTAAAATAAATCTCAATTGAGACTCCATACAAAGTTTCATTTTAACACGAAATAGTCAGTATAAATCCTCATTAAAAGACATTAATCAGTTAATCACTTAAAAATATCAGAGACTTATCACAAAGTAGAAAACTTTTCATTTTTACTATTTTTTTGTAATAATACCCAAATTAAATTGATGTTTACTGTATGCATATAAATCCACCATATTGTGTAACGGGTATAATTTGTGTATATCATTGTGTTTATTGAAAATGCACATTTGAAAATTTCATGCTATGGACATCATGGGCAAGAGGCTACTTATGGGGAAATTGCAATTTCAAAAACATGCTAGATCGTTTAAATTGAAAATGCTAGTACATAAGTTTTAATTTTTCGATAGATAACATGATATTTTTCAGTTAAATTAGTAATTTAAGTTCATGCCTCTTTAATTCTTTATCTTACATATTGGCCAGTTTGCGGCTTCAGCCGGCTTAAGCCGGTGCTAGGCGGCGTGGACTTATATGCACTTATAAAATCAACGTTTTTTTTATCTCATACTAGTAAATATTTTACGTCTGCTTAACTATCTTCCTCGCAACTTGCTTTTTTAATTTATCTGTACTTATCAAGGGAAGTAAACGTTGCTGATACACTACATCTTTGCAGCAGTTACTTCCCCTGAGCAGCAAACCTAATTAACTGCAATACGAACGCAGAATGAAATATACACGACAGATTAAAAGATAACACGGCTGTTGTAAATTCTTTCAAATAGGGCTAGATGGGTTTTAATTAGGACATCATAATTATTATCATTTAAACATTAATAACAGTAGAAGGAAATCACTTAAATACCAGCAGGCGACCCCGTTGATAGCGGAAAATATAAATATACACATCACAGGGTTAGAAAGTGTACAGCCTGACCGGGACTCAAACCATGGACCAAATTTACACACTATCTCTCCTAATTAATGAACAGTTCTGAACCCTGACATACATTATTTTGATGCAATGTATATTATAGTTCACTACATAAGAACAATATATCAGTTTTATCTATATATTGGTAAATTGTTATAAGACCCTAGACCACTTGAATAAAACTGAATAAATATTTCATCACTTAAATATCTGAATTTTTGAATTGTTTTATATTACTGTTTCATGTGTATGACATGTATATAATAGGCAGATACATGTATTATTTTGATCACTTATCAATGTTTAAGAATACCCAGTCCATATTTAGTCAGTTTTCAACGAGGGTCATTTTTTCACGCGTCGGTGGATCATTAAACAATGGGAAAGGATCAATTTTCAAAGTTGAAAATGCATCTAAATCCATTGCAAAATGTCCTATGGAGTCTATCTGCAACGGGGTCAAAATTTATGCAATCAGATTTAATGTTACACCCGCACATTCTAATAAGTAACCCATTATAAGATGACCACCCCAGGCAAATACCTTAATTGCGTATATATTTTTCCTTGAATACATTTCTAAATCACAAACATGTATGTACGTAGTTAGAATGTTTTAAAAACTCAAAAAAGGAGATTTTCCTCAGGAAAATATTGTGTGTACATGCATATGCATTTAACAAAGAGATAATGCGCGGACTCTTTTAATCATAAAACAAAATAAAATATAATGAAATGTTAAACAAGAAATTACAGAAAATAATCTTTGGTCCGGTCTTTTTCCTCCGGCACATGGGGCAGGCATTTTATGGGTTACTCACTAAAGGGCTCTACTGTACACATTATGAAATACTTTGGATAAGTGGGTATCATTTTTTTCTTTCTACTTGGTGGGTAATTAAATAATGGACAAGATCAGTATCAATGTTTAAAATTCACTATTGTGTTACTGCTAGGCCATGCGTTGTAAAATACATAAGTTTAACAAGTACAATTCTACTCGGGGTAAATAAAGCACGATTGGCTCTTGAAAACTCTTTTCAATTCTCTGTACCTTTTATAGTTTCAGAACAGTCGATGTTAAATACAAGGTCTAAATAAAATACTGTTTGTTTTCCCTTCCTGCTACCTACCCACTGCCACACAAAATATGTTACAGAACAATGCCAGAATCTGTAACATGTTTTTGCATTCTAAATACCTGTGGAATAAAACTTTGGCAGCATGTAAACCTTTAAACAGATGCTAAACCTTCACAATTTTTTTTTAATTCCGTAACACTCATTGTGTGGTGCAGGGTTTGAAGGTGGTACTGGGGGAGGTGGGGTAGGTTTCCGTGTCCATGATATTCTTTAACAAACAAAACATTTCTGTGCCGTATTTTCTCCGTAGTATAATATTCCGTTAAAGTGTAATAGTTATAAATGTCCACATTTTTATTCTTTCGATGATAATTAAGTACAAACTCAGTCAATCCGTTTTTTCTGTTTTTAATATAGTTTCTTTTTTTTATATTCATAATTACACCAACAGCTCCGACCGTTCAAAATAACAAATATATATGTACATTTACATTAAAATGCACCGCAGAAAACTGCGGCACCAATACTTTAAACTTTAACAATTACATGTTTTCTGTATATCTGTCTGAATCCTTTTATCAAAAGTTCTCTCTTCTTTTTATTAATACAAGAATAATAGTAGCAAATGTTTCAATAATTAACCAATGAAAAAATGGCCCTTAAAAAGAAAATATTAACCAATGAAAATACATTTTATCAAATATGAAATTATAGATTTGACCAATAAAAATGTTTCGATTTAGACTGATTAACACGCCAGATGTCAAAACCTGCCGCATGTTATTTCCTTTCTTTAGGTCAAACAGGTAATCAGGTAAGAAAACTTCAAATAAATGTCTTAGATAAAATTTATGATAATAATCTTGTTGTCATACATGTGACGTAAATAAACATAAATGTGTCAGACCCGTAAATGAAGATAAACATGTCAACGGTCTGGCTAATTTGTAATTTACATACATCTGAATTTCAATAATTTAAACAAGCCTTTCCTATCAAGAAAATATGATAATTTTACGAAAAGCGTTTTGAAAGAATCAAATGAAAAAAATACAGCATAATAACTATACATGATATTCATGATATATAAATAAAGATAATGTAAAATAGAAAAAAATATTTTGGACGAAAAAATACTTTTCATATCCAAATTAACTCATGAATATAGGTAGCGGTAGGGAAAGAAAGATATTTTTAAGGTTCGCCCAACTTAATATCTACATAGCACTGAAATAACGTTTGTTACTTTAAGAATACATGTACATATTAAACTTTGAATAACAGAGAAAAAATATGTGATAACACAGACAAGGAGTAATAATTAAACATTTTACCAGATTTAATTGAGTCAAACAACACCATACCAATTCAGTTATTTGTCATCATTTATCATGATTAATATCACAAATCAACACATTACAGACCTGGGGATGATTACATTGATCATTAATTGATTTTATCACAATTACTTTCAGATTTTATTGTAATTGATTATTATTTATTACTCAGACTTGCCGCTGTAATCAATTAAATTACAATTACTTTAAGAGAGTAATTGATTGATAATTGATTACATTCAATGTTAAGTAGACTCCCTACTTCTGACCACCCCTGAATTAAGACCATCCCCTTAATAAGACAATTTGTTTACAAGGTTATTTATGCCAATGGTCACATAATCCAGAATTAAGAACAACCGCTCATCCACTTTTAAGACCACCTGATTCAGTCCAAATTCTTTGCTTTATTCTTAATTTGGACCACTGATATTAAAGTAAACACCTATCTAGATGTTTTATGATCTGCTTGAATGCTTGGCATGACACTTAATTTCACAAGGTGTGAAAAACTGTTATTATTGGGTTATTGTATGAAATAAGGCGAGAAGGTAAATTTA